GTGTGTGTGTGTGTGTGTGTGTGTGTGTGTGTGTGTGTGTGTGTGTGTGTGTGTGTGTGTGTGTGTGTGTGTGTGTGAGCTGACGATCTGTCTTAAATACATGGCCAAACGGCCGCATGATTCTCGAGTGAGTGTGTCTTTCATGCACGCGGCGAGGTACTGGCGAAAGTGGCCTACGTGAAGTGCATCTCCTGCTTGGTCAGCCATCTCCACAGGGAGGCTTCCCGAGGTGCGCCGAGGTGCAGCTGGTTGGGGCTGAGAGGCAGGTATTTGTGCGCATTTTGAGAATGGTGTGCATGCACGGGTAGCAACTGATGGCACATCTGGTGTGGACGTCCGCTCCCGCAGCGAACGGGGAGTGACAAGGAACGCCAGAAACTTAAGCGCAAATGTGAGCATAGCGCAGGTCGGGGCCGAGGCACTCCCAGTGTTTCCACGCACGCCCCATCTGTGACCATAAGCGTGACAGCCCCAGAAGCAGCCAGTGGAGCCCCAGCGTCTGGCTGTCTGCCCGCCTCGGCCCCTTTGTGTCTCAAGCCGGGCGTGTCTTGCCGCCACGCGTCTCAGGTCAGCCTCTTGTGTTCTGCGTGATGCCCCGGTTAAGCTGGGGGTTTTTCTGTGGTGGTTTCTGGGTGTGGGTGCTTCTCCGGGTCTCTTCGGGTCTGGGGGTTTTAGTGGTGGGTCTAGGAGTGCCGCTGCTTCCCCCCGAACAGTTTGCCTGCGAAGCTACCGCTGCTTCCCCCGGAACAGCTTGCCTGTGAAGCTGCCAAGGATGGACACCCAAGGACTTGGGAGGCTTGCTCTGACGCGAGTATCCCGCCGCTTCCCGGAACAGTTTGTCCGTGAAGCTGGTCACTCACGGACTCCCGAGGAGTGTTCTGCCACGAGTCCTCAAGGATGAGTTGTGCACGATGTGCACGCAGGCTTCCATAACGGAATCTCGTGAGGGTTGCTCTGCTATAAGTTCCCAAGGATGCGTTGTGCACGCAAGCTTCTATGATGAAGTCTGGGGGGGGGTTCCTCTTTTCGGTTCATTTGGTTCCGACGTCTCAATGTGCCCGTATAGGGTGTGCCACCGGTTCCCCGGGAACAGTTTGGCTGTGAAGCTGTCAAGACTGGTTGCCCAAGGATGCTCTGCCACAAGTCCTCAAGGATGAGTTGGGGCGCAAGCTTCCATAACGGAGCCTCTGAAGGAGTGGTCTGCCACAAGCCCTCAAGGATGCGTCGTGCACAACAGGCCTCATGTCGGAGTCGGTGCAGCATAGGTTGCAGGCTCATCTTATGGCCACGCAGCCATAACTTGTGCAGGACCACAGAGTGTCAAATCTGCAATGAAGGAGTCGGTGTGCAAATAAGTGAATCCCGTCATCGAGCCCAAGCGGTCACTCTGTTGGAAGCGATGACGAGAGAGGTGGGCCCTGCTGTTCACAGTCATGTCTCAGAACGCCGAGAAATCAAGTCCACCTCCGCCTCCTCCCCAAGGACTGCAACTAGATGTGGTGCCTGGGTACTTTGCCATAGTCTGCTCGATGCCGATCTCATTCCTGCGGCACGCTGTGTCGGTTGCTACGGGAGCGTGAATGTCTGAAGGGTTCCGAACCTTCGCCTTGCTTCCCCGCACTGTTAGGCGAGACAAGGGGGGGGGGGCCCACTGTGTGTTGATACACCTCACTCACCAAGGAGTGATTCGTGCATTACTGTGCACCCACTTGGGCTGCGTGTTCAATGTATTTTTGATTTAAATAAAGTACAGGTCTGGGTGGTGACGGCAACACGGGCCCGCGACGTCAGCCGCCGAGTGTGCAGGCGGTCTCATCAGTGAGAGGTAAGTTATAAGCCCCCCCCGCACGCAGTTGGCTTCATGTTACGACCGTGCCTACTTATGCTCACGCCAAATGTCAGCGCGTGTCCACGGAGTGCGCTGCCTGCTCTACAGTGAGCGGAGTGTAGCTGTCAACTTCGGATGACATGCTGGGAAACAGGTCTTCCCAAGCACGTCTAGGGAGGAGTAAGCGGCAAACCTGGTGTGTGGTCGTTGGTGCCGCCAGTCTTGGGCAACCTACTGGCTAACAACATGTGCGCCATGTGGCCGGCTTCCTGTCTGCCCACTGTGCGGGTTCTTACGCTCTCCTGGAGGCCGTTCAAGTGGCAGTGTCGGGTGCTCCTACCCATAGGGCGCGTGTTTGGTTCACTCGCTTGCCATGCCTGTGTGGGCATCGGCTTGTCCCGGAAGCTTTGTGTTTTTTGTCTAGGTCGGTCTACGTAGTGGGTCTGGGTTTGCATATTCTCCCTCTCCGTGGGATGCGTGAGTGCGCACCTTTCCTTTAAGGTGCACAGGCTCCCCCTTCAAGGCATATGGCCACACTTCTACAGAGGGGCGTGGGTCACTGTCCTGTGATCTAATGCGTTTCCAGCGCGGCGACGCTCCTGCATTGGTTTTCGGTTAATTGGGGGTTTGAGGCTGCCATAGGATGACTAGAGGTCGCGCCTATAAAGACGTGTGCGCAACCAGCGTGTACACTGGCACGTGATTGTGCATCTTGATCCGCCCATTGATAAAAAGAAAGGGATGGTGACCTGGGGTGTCACGGTTCATGCTTCAGGGAGTCTGTGTGTCTGGCTTGAGCTTTTGGGTTCAAACCAATTTGGTACAAGCGATAAAGCAGCAGCCAGCAGCAGCCAGCAGCAGCCAGCAGCAGCCAGCAGCAGCCAGCAGCAGCCAGCAGCAGCCAGCAGCAGCCAGCAGCAGCCAGCAGCAGCCAGCAGCAGCCAGCAGCAGCCAGCAGCAGCCAGCAGCAGCCAGCAGCAGCCAGCAGCAGCCAGCAGCAGCCAGCAGCAGCCAGCAGCAGCCAGCAGCAGCAGCAGCACCAGCAGCAGCAGCCAGCAGCAGCCAGCAGCAGCCAGCAGCAGCCAGCAGCAGCCAGCAGCAGCCAGCAGCAGCCAGCAGCAGCCAGCAGCAGCCAGCAGCAGCCAGCAGCAGCCAGCAGCAGCCAGCAGCAGCCAGCAGCAGCCAGCAGCAGCCAGCAGCACCCAGCAGCACCCAGCAGCACCCAGCAGCACCCAGCAGCACCCAGCAGCACCCAGCAGCACCCAGCAGCACCCAGCAGCACCCAGCAGCACCCAGCAGCACCCAGCAGCACCCAGCAGCACCCAGCAGCACCCAGCAGCACCCAGCAGCACCGAGCAGCACCCAGCAGCACCCAGCAGCAGCCAGCAGCAGCAGCAGCAGCAGCAGCAGCAGCAGCAGCAGCAGCAGCAGCAGCAGCAGCAGCAGCAGCAGCAGCAGCAGCAGCAGCAGCAGCAGCAGTAGCAGTAGCAGTAGCAGTAGTAATAGTAATAGTAGTAGTAGAAGAAGAAGAAGTAGTAGTAGTAGTAGTAGAAGAAGTAGTCGTAGTAAGTAGTAGCAGTAGCAATGCCCGAGACAAAGAGCCCAGGCCGGATGAGGTGGGAAGCAAAGAGCCCGGAGGCTGTACTGCGGTGAGGTGGGAAGCAAAGAGCCGGAGCTTGTTTTTTTGGGTGAGGTGGGAAGCAAAAAAAAGTTCGGGATGAGGTAACTCAAAGACCGTGGGCAGGCTGTGACGCAGCTGCAGATTTGGGTGAGGCGGGAAGCAAAGGCCCGTGTGCGAAACCTGTGGGAATGCACAGTTGCAAGTAGATTGCCAAAAAAACGGACTCGGAAGCCGAAAATCGTAAAGTTGGACCTTTTTACAACGCTCATTTTTGCTTTAAACAGGGTCCAACTTTTCGATTTCGGTTTTCGGGTCTGGTTTTTGGCCATCTATTGTGAACTCGTGATAACTCGTGGAATCCGCGCAGTTTCGTCGTATGCGTAGAAGCTCGTGGTCTCGCGCGTTCACGCTCTAAAAGTGACGGTTTTCGTGCAGCTTTTGCTTCGATGCACAATCGCTGTGTTATTTTGCCAAAAGTGGTCTTGTTCTTGTTGAAGTGTCAACCGACAGGTTATGCCCGTAGTCGCAAAATCATAAAGTTGACAATCTGCTGTTCAATGTTGGCAGAAGACTGGGGTTTCGGTTGCATAGGCGGAGGTGGGAGCAAGTCACAACCTGTCAAATAACTTTCCAACATTGAACAGCGAAATGTCAACCTTTGATCTGCCAGTCTCTAGAAAGCATTGATCTTTTTCTGACGAACCTTGTCGAGGCGATTAAAGAATAATGCTGTATATGTCTCATCACTTGAGTGCAGTTTCAAGACCCCAAAAAAACATAAAAAACGTAGGACGCGTCACGTGACCTCGACAGTAGTGTCTCGCGACATACTACCACGTGAAAAAGAAGACCCTTGCAAACATCAGAGAAGCCCCCGAAGCAAGCGGATGTTTACCAACCCATGTTTTCGTTACCGTTTCGCCCTGAAGGGGGGCTTTGCCTCCCGTTACTCTCAATGTTTTTGCCTTTCGCTTTCAGTGGCTCTACGTGTTTAAGCAGGTCGTCTGCACATTGCTCTTCTTTTCGTTCCATTTTAAGAAGTGCGTTGGCTTTCCCGTGATCCAGAACCCTAACTCTTTTTGTTGCACTCCTTTGTCCTGATGAAATCCTTCTAGCCAGTAGGACATGCACTACGTGGTTTGAGTTCCTTACCGTTTGGCGCTGTCGGCTCGGTGGCAGCGTTCCTTCGCAGAGCCGGCAACGGAAACATAACGGCAGATGACGAGGAGACCTACAATAACATGACCAAGGCGATGTTCGGCTCCAACAAAAGCCTTTTCAATCCGTTACACAAGTCCTTTTACAACGAGGAAGACCTCAACATACTCGAACAGGCTAAGATCATCGTAGCCTCAGGGCCAAGATTTTAACCAGTTCGACAAATGGAGAGTTTATCAGAATGCGGATTATAGCGAGCTGTCCGATTCCACCCTGTGTTTTGTAGAGGTTTGGGGCGACATGAAGATCATGTTCAACAAGAAGTTCAACCTAGTCTATATGAAGTATCTTAAGCAGCTTAACGAGACAGGCGTCGAAATATTGTACATAAACTTCCCTCGTTCATTCACAGAGTGGGTTGTAAAGATCTGATCGGAAGAAGATAAGTAAGGACCAGCATCTGGACAAGCTCGTAAAGAAGCTCATAGCGAATGTTAATACAGGGCTTTTGGAGAAGACAGGGAGCACAGATCAAAAGGGCATAGTATGCAAAACCTTGGCGAAGCATGTGGTTTTCACTCTCCTGAACCCTAAACCCTAAACCCTAAACCCTAAACTCTAAACCCTAGACCCTAGACCGTAAACCCTAAACCCTAAACTCTCAACCCTAAGCCTTAGTACGAGGGAAATCTTGGAACTGGGGGATTCCCCGACATGAGGGTCATGGCATCACGATGACCAGTATGGGGGGTTTACGATAAGAAGGGACCCCTAAATATAGACCCCCAGTTGGTAGGATCCCCTTATCATAAGGATCCCTAGAAGGTACCCGTCATATCATAAGTCCCATGTGAGGAACTGCGCCCTGGCACCCTTTGGTAGGATGCAAGAGCCGGCTAGCGTAGTACGGTATGCGTACATGGGTTCTTTGAGTGGAAGGGCCAGCCGTGCATTGCTATCCAGGGGCCAGAACAAAAGGGCGCTTTCCTTTTGCTCAAGTTTGAGGAGGCCCTCATAGCGGCACAGCGTCGGCAACTTTTGGCAGTTCTCATAGTGGCTCCGACCATGCGTGCCGTGCTGCTTAGTCTCCTGGGCTTGCACGCTTCTTTGCCTGCTCGCGCCGGCTCTTGTCCACCCAATGCTGCACCCTTCAACAGACCCGATGCGCTTTCCGAGGCTGAGCAAGTCAGGTATTCCGACCTTTACTCGGTGTCGTACTACAACACATACAAGGTCATCAAGTACGTTGAGACGAAGACGCTGTTGAAGGCGAACTGGCCCGGATGGCCGAACCCAGCGCAGGTGGGCAAGAGTCCGCCAAACATTGTGCTGTATGAGTGCGGCACGACGCCGCCAAGCAGCTCCTTCCCCGATGTGACGGAAGACGCGCAGTTCTTCTCCGTCCCCATCGAGCGTGCTGCCTTGCCCTGGACCGGAATGCTGCATTTCTTTGAGATGCTCTCCCTGACTGAGGCCATCCACGCCATTGACATGACGTACGCCTCATCTCCTTGCATGCAGTTGCTTGAGGTGTGCACCCCTGGCATCCATGCAAAGAGCGGGACTTTGACCTGGAAGAACGCAGCCGCGGGTGCGGACGTTGTCTTCTCAGACTCCTGGGGAAGCGGAGCGATCAACACCTCGGCAGACGTGGCTTTTGAGGTCTCGACGGACTCGGGGCTCTTGCATCGAGCTGAATGGATCCGTTTCGTTGCCTTGTTCTTCAACCAGGAGGTGCTTGCTGGACAGATCTTTGCCCAGGTCGAGGCGGACTTCCTCGCCATGCAAGCAGAAGCAGCTCGCCTCAAGGCGGCTGCCTCGACCAGGGTTCCCTCCATCGCCTGGGTTGCGCACCAGGCCTGCTCGGACGTGGCCTGCGATGGGAAGACGCCTGGGCAGTGGGCTCAGAAGGCCGACGGCAACTGGTGCCGCTGCGGGGCCTTCTACCTGTTCTACAACTCCCATGCCCGGAAGGACATCACCGAGCTTGCAGGTGCGCGGCTCCTCCCGATGCCAGCAGCCGCAGCGGCCAACTGCACATTCCTGACCAACTCGGATGGCTCCCAGACCTACGAGTGCAACGGGCTGGCCCAGCAGCACTTCTTGCAGCACCTTTCGGAAGCGGACGTCATTGTGGATGAGACCACGGCTTCCGCCTACCTCGGGCCCTACGACTTGGATGACTTTGTGCTGAACTTCGGCACAGATGCACCAGGCGCCCCAAGCCTGAAGGCGATGCTGAACGAGGCAGTGTACCGGGATGATGGATCCGTCAGCGACCCAAGGGATGGCACCGGCGAGATGGGAAGCAGTGAGTTTGAACAGCAGAACGCGCAGCCGCAGGAGATCCTCAGCGACATGATGCATGCGGTTTGGGGTGGTGACTTCAAGGGCGCGTGCCCGATGAGGTACATGCGCAACCTCTACAACCGCCAGCCTCGTGACTATCAGCAGCACTCGGACTGTCCGCTGCATGATGCTGGTGGCAACCATGACTGCGCCGGTATTCACAACTATGAGCATGGCATCAAAATGTGCGCACCTCGCCCTGAGACACCTAGCAACACGTCTAACGGCGACAATGGGCTGGCATTGGGATTGGGTCTTGGGCTGGGACTTCCGTTAGGGCTCTTAGTAATTTGCGGATTCGCGTGGTTGTGTTTTCGCTCCCAGAAGCCCACTCCAACACCTGCCTCCCCAATGGCTGGGGGTCAAGTCGTGGGATTCCCTGTCAGCGATGGGGCCTCAAAGGCACCGGTTTGATCCGTGCGATCCGAAGAAGTTTGAGTTCTCATTTTTGTGGCTGCAACTTTTGCTGAAATCTCTGCTGTAGAGGGGTGTGCTTTTTCTATTCCACCACACCTTGCGGGTGGAAACCATGGGAAGACGCGAACGCACGCAGACAAGGGTGTGCATCAGCGTCAATTTTGTTCTCCTGCCATCTCTGCACGACGTGGAGTGGCTTGGAGCATGAACAGTTTTGTGCCGCGCGCATTTTCGTGCCGTGTCTGCTGTTAGCCTACACCCAGAGGGCAGTGGCAGGCAGTGCCGTGCAGGCAAAGTGGCAGGCAGTGCGCAAGAGGGCAGCAGATGGCAGAAGGAAGTGTACAATGTGTACAGCAGAATATGCACCACAAAGTATCGCTGTTGGTCGTTGCGCAAGTGCAAGACAGTCGTATGTTGCGCTCGCGTGGGGGCTGGGCTGCTCTTGGTCTCGTGTATCCTCGTGTTCGGCACAGGGCCCCGAATCCTCACAGGGGTACCCAGATCGCAGCGCTGGAGGAGGCAAGGTATCCCACTCAAGCACATCTCAGCCCATGCAGTAAGAAGTGAACAAGTGGCCTTCAGCTCTGCGCGAAGCGCTCTGTAACCTCAGAAGTGTACGGACATTTGGTTCAAACAGGCTCAGAGTCCTCGTGCCCCTCTCCGTGTGGTTACATATTACTGGATCTGGTTTTTGGCTAATCAATTGTTGAGAAACTCCGAAAGGCCTTGTCAGGACATGTCAGGACTTTATGCGGTTTATTGGTCTATGGGGATCTGAAAGCTTCATGCGGGTTGTATCATATAGGGAGGAGCGCACTCGGAAAGTTGCCAAGTTCGGCTCAGGGCCTACCAGGCCTACTGCCCTGCACTGAAAAGTCTCGAGTGGGGGAATTGGGATGGCGCCTGGCTACGGCAGCCCAGCTTTGGCGAGCGCGTTGAAATACATGCTGCTGGGGAGCGCCTTGTACGAGCCTTTGCGGAAGGCCCTTCACAGCCTGGGGGATGATGTCGGAGGGGTGGGAGGGGTGGGAGGCCTCTGCAACCTGGGGTCTCCGGAGGCGTGCGACAGCCTGGCGGGTCGCACTGGAAACTACTGCTTCCAGCCCGGTGTGTGGTCAGGCTTGACCTGCTTTGCCATTGTGGTGCTTGCGGTTTGGACCGGTCCTCTTTTCTTTGGGGCCGTCGCCATGTCGCGGTCGTTGTTGAAGCAGGATGCTCCGCTTGAAGAAGGCAGGGAGACCATGAGTCAAGCAGGCCAAGAAGCTCAGCAGCCCAGTGGTACCCTTTGCCCTTTCTTGGGTTCAAGGCTCCCTTACAAACTAACCAACCAAAAAAAGGGGGGTGCCCTTATTGTAAGGTGGTTGCTGGGCTACCGAGGAAGCAGACCCACCAGCAGGCTCTGTCGAGGTAGCAAGATTCCTGTCGATCTGGTCAGGCTTATCCTGCCTCTGGTTTGCCATGCCCTTCACGTACATGCTGGCTGACCCGTTCTACAGGTCTAGTGTTGCGACTGTGGTATTGGCTGTTGCTCTTGCGGCGTCCTTCCCCCTCAGCTGGCACCTCTCTCTTCTTGCCTTACCCGTCACTAGGTATCGATGTGGGATAACTCTTTAGTTCCCTTGTTGTTTAACATCCCTAACCCTAGACCCTAAACCCTAAATCCAACACCCTAAACCCTAAACCCTAATCGCAAATAATCTTGGGGACTGTTGAAAATCGACACCTAGAGGTCAGCAAGGCAGTGAGCCCATTGTTGGGCCTACCTCGGCAAGGAGTTGTGGACCTCCACAAGGCGCTTGGTTGGAATGCCATGGCCTGGGCATCCATCCATGCTTGCGGGGAGATCTTCTACTTGTGCTACCAACAGGGTCTGCAGACAATCTTTCAGCTGAGTGGCAGGCAAGGCGAGAATTTGCTCTACCTGCTGGGCCTCCTGACAGCCCTGCTGCTGGTCCTACACACCCTGGTGGTCCTCCTGAGGAAGCGCGACTCCATCCGGCGGCTCTTCAAGAGCCTCCACCGGCTGACAGCAGGCCCTAAACCTTAAACCCTAAACCCTAAACCTTAAACTTTAAACTCCAAACCCTAAACCCTAAACCCTAAACCCCTAAACCCTAAAGGCCTCGTGCTGCTCAGTGCCACGGCGCATTGGTGGCCCTTCGCCTTGTTCCTGCTCCCCTCTGCGGCGGCGCATGGCACGGCGGTGGCCATGGGTGTGGCTTCCTAGTAGCGGAGTAGGCAACCTTGAACCTTTTTTGGGGGAACCGAATCCCCTCATCTTGGGGTAGTAATCCCCAATCCCCTTATATCGGGGTAACAGAATCCCCTTATCTTCCCAAGGGTCAGCCTTTAGTTCCCCTGAGGTTACGGGACAACTAAGGCTTCTTGGCTGGGCCGCCAGGCCTCACTGGCAAGGGCAAGCCTTGCTCTGGCGGCCGCAGTCTTGGGCGCTTTGCTCGGCTTGCTCCCTGTCTGGAAGGCTCCTTCGTCATAGCTGGGGTGCCATTTTACATTGTTAAGGCGTACTTAAACCCTATAAGGAATAGCAAATTAAATTTTTCATATTCTCCCAACCATGAACTAGGCTCGGGAGACCGTGATGATCGCCCAAGGCGTTGGCCTCTTGGCTCCCTTTGCCTTCCCACCTCTGGCGCTGCTGATGGAGGTTGTGGCTGCAGCATTCGCAAGTCTGCCGATCCTGCTGACGGCTCCCCAGGTGCGTACGGAAAACGGGGCCTTCGCACTCATGGGATGAGCTGCACAATGTCCCTTTGAGCTGAGGCTGCGAGGCCTTGCAGCTGTATAGACTGTCTAGAGCTATTTGGGGACTTGTGGCATGTGAGAACGTAGCTTAGCGTCATCGCTGCCCCTACCAGGAAGTCACAGAAATATACACATTCCTAATAGCGCTGTGGTGGCTGCATCTTGCATGTTTAAGAACGATGTGCACGAGGTGATTTTGTTTTTGGCCATCAACCTGGGGCAGCGAACGACCTGCACTGTTTTTTTTTGGGTTTAGGGTTTCGGGTTTAGGGTTTAGGGTGTTTTTCGATCTCTACAACTGTGTGTGTGTTTGACACACAGTCGCATCGAAGATGTCCGAGAGGGGTGTTGATGTACTCTTCGAGCACCGAGGCTCGAGAACGTCTGGACGCAACTGAAGCTCAGACAAAGAAACCGAAGCGTCAGGGTTCAGCAGCAGGACAAGTTGTTTTGCCACGAACGCGGGTACTTGAGAATCCTGGTAATGGAAGTCGCGCTCATGATGATCACAGAAATCACGGATTCCACCCTAAGCCCGAACTCCTAAACCCTAAACCCTTCAAACCCTCACTCAACCATCAACAGAGGTAGATGATGGCAGTCCACTGAGCTAATTACAGTGCAAAACTCCGGAATTGAAGTTGTTGCCAGCAAGTTGCTTCCAGAGAAGGATGGTTTCCACAAACAACCCCTAAACCCTAAACCCTAAACCCTAAACCCTAAACCCTAAACCCTAAACCCTAAACCCTAAACCCTAAACCCTAAACCCTAACCCCTAAACCCTAAACCCTAAACCCTAAACCCTAAACCCTAAACCCTAAACCCTAAACCCTAAACCCTAAACCCTAAACCCTAGTTTGGGGACCGTGTTTCCTTGGTGGTCTCGCTCGGATGCCTGAGCTCTATGAGCAGCCTGATACTCCCGCTTCCATGTGTGATTGACGAAGGGGTATCGCAGCGCTAGTGAGGGCATACAGGGAAGAGATGCAACTCTGGCGGACCGAGCAGGCTCGAGACCCTTTTGCTTTGCCTGGTTCCGCTGCGTCCCCTAGCGCGGCCATGGGGCGCTTCTCTGTGTTGGCAGCCCTGCTTTACGGGCTCTTAGTCCTGGGCAGCACCGGTGTGGCCCCGGTCGTGACGGATGGCAAGTGGCGCTTCTCTGCCTTGACAGACCGCCTCATCCGCATCGAGTACGACGAGGCAGGGCTGTTCGTGGATGACCCGACGGACGCCTTTCCGAAGGATGGCAAGCCCAGGGGAAGCTGGGAGTCCGCCCCCCAGCCGCTGGGCAACAGGTCGGTGCTCCGGACCGGCAGCGTGATCTTGGAGTACTTCCCCCAGGCCCCAACCAATGGTTCCGTCGTCATGACTAGCAGGAAGGACAGCTCAGTTATCTGGAGGTGGGGAGACGATGTGTCTCTGGGCAATCTCCGTGGTACGGCCCGAACCCTCGACGGGAACGCGGAGACGCTGGATTTGAACTGCCACAACAAGGTCTCCAAGGCCATGGCAAACCACGAGACGCACTGCACATGGGGACTCATCTCCCTGCGTGGCTGGGCTTTGGTGAATGAGACGGGCATGCCGGTGTGGAAGAATGGCTGGTACGCACCCTCCAGGAACACCACGGACGTCTACGTCTTCCTCCACGGGAGTGACTACTCTGGGGCTCTGAAGGACTTCATTGACACAGCAGGAGTTCCTGGGCTCCCTCCCCGGTATGCGCTGGGCAGCATGTTCACACGATGGTACAACTTCGACGAGGATTCCGTGGCCGCGATGGTCAACGATTTCGAGGACCACTCCATGCCGCTGGATGCTTGGATCTTCGACATGAACTGGCACATCTATGGCCCTTGGGGCGCAATGACTTGGAATTCGGAGAGCTACCCGCGCCTGCAGGAGCCCTAAACCCTAAACCCTAAACCCTAAACACGAAACCCTAAACCCTAAACCTTAAACCCCAGACTCTAGACCCTAACCCCTAAACCCTAAGCCCTAAACCCTAAACCCTAAACCCCAAAAGGAGACTCTTGACTTCATCAAGTCCAAGGGCCTGCCCATCGGAGTGAACACGCATGAGCACGACGGCATCCGCACGACCGAGCAGACCTTCCAGCAGGTGTTGAGGGTTTAGGGTTTAGGGTTTAGGGTTTAGGGTTTAGGGTTTAGGGTTTAGGGTTTAGGGCTCCTGGGATGCCCCCAGCAGGTGTGTGCCGCTCTCGGCCGGCGGCCGGAGGATGGAGACATCCCCTTCGACCTCTACAACAAGAGCTACTTACCAGAAGAATGGGGGAATAAGCTACCACATGTCCCCTAAAGGGTACTATACCCTTTAAGGGATGATGTATGGTACCTTTCCCTACTCAGCAACAGTAAGGCTACGCCATGGCCCAGGAGGACATCGCCTGGCGCGCCCTCCAGACGAAGGGTGGCTTAGTAGTAGAGTAGGTAACCTTTAATCTTTTTTTGGGTTTTCTATAATCCCAAATAAAATCCCAAAGGGTTAACCTTTAATTCCCCCAGGTTACTGGGCAACTAAGGTGGCACTCAGGGGGTCGACTTCGCCTGGATCGACTACCAGCAGGGCGAGACCAGCACCTTCGAGAACACCACCATCCCAGGGCTGAACCCCACCATCGTCCTCAACAGGCTCCGGTCCACGAACCTTTGTCATAGTTTTGGGTGCCATTTTACATTTTTTCAGGGTGCTTAAAACCCAATAAGAAATGTATAAACTTAAGTTGTTCATATTATCCCAACCATGAGCTAGGAACGCGGCGCGGCACGGCGAGAACCTGCGGCCCCTGATCGTCTCGCGCTGGGGCGGCTTGGGCAGCCACAAGTACGCCGTGGGCTTCTCCGGGGACCAGCTCCACAGCTGGAAGCTGGGTCAGGGACTTTGGGATAACTTTGTGAATACTTGCTTCGGTGATATACATGTATATAAATTGTGTATTTTATAGATACCTGCTGTATATGTTCCTTTTTGGGGAACATGTGAGGGCTTTCAACCAACCAAGGAAGGGGCTGGCCTTCCTTCCCTACTTCACGAGCACCGCCGCCAACGTCGCCTTCGGCTTTTGGAGCCACGACACGGCGCCTCGGCGACGTGGAGGGTTAGGATGCAAGCTGCGCCAACTTTAGGGTTTAGGGTTTAGGGTTTAGGGTTTAGGGTATTTGTGGTTTAGGGTTTAGATGCAACTTCAAGCCTACACCTTGGGATGTGCCCTCTTATACTCACAGTCCTTTATAGTAGGGGCCACGATAGTCCCGATCAAGGACTGTTAGTATAAGGGGGACATCCCAAGCATTCTGGGTTTAGGGTTTAGGGTTTAGGGTTTAGGGTTTAGGGTTTAGGGTTTAGGGTTTAGGGTTTAGGGTTTAGGGCAAACTGACGATCCCTCATGGCCTGCCGGGTTCTTGAGGTTGGTGGCGACCACAAGACGGGAAACGACTACGAGCTGAGCGTCCGCTGGTTCCAGGTGTCGGCCTGGAGCCCTGTCCTGAGGATGCACGACGCTTGGGACAGCGTTTCAGGAGGGATGTGATGTGCGTTTCGGGGTTTTAGGATGTTCAGGGTGGTTAGGGTTCAGGGTTTTGGGGTTTGGGGTTCAGGGTTCAGGGGTTTGGCGGTGGGTTCCTGGACCGTTGGGAGTCCAGCTGGACTGAAAGGAGCACCCCCGGAACCTTAAACCCTCAATCCTCAACCCTCAACCCTAAACCCTAGCTAGGATTGTGAAGCAATGACAAGCCCACGCATGTCTTGAAAAGGGCTCCCCCCCCCATGGGATGATGGGGGATTTAGGCTTAGGGCGGTTTAGGGGTTTAGGGGTTTAGGGTTTAGGATGGGGGTCCAGGGTTTTCCAGTGAGGGCCAAGGAAGAGCTCAACGGGTGAGTTGGTGGATGGGTGGAAGCACGCGATGCAGGCAAGTAGGGATGGACATGCCGAAGCCGAAGGATGGAAGGAGGGAGAGTTTGAGAATCGGAGGGATGCGGATGATGAGGGACAATGGATGGGATGGGTTTGCATGGGATGGATGGAGGGGTTGAAGAAAGCATGGTGAGAGCTTGGCTTGTGGCTTGGGCCTTGGAGTGTCGATTGCCGGATGAGTTCGAGCGCTGTTTTTTTTCTACAAATGACATGAGACGAGATGCGATGGGATGAGACGGTAGCGTTTTGTGTGCTACTAGCGCGAATGCCATGTCATGGCATGGCACGGCATGGTGCGATGTGTGCATCCTGTCATGTTCAACCCTAAAGCCTGTGACCTTGATGAGCACCACCCAAAAGCTAAGCACAGCCTGTGGCTTCCAGGCCCCCGCCCGAAAAGAACGACCCTAAACCCTAAACCCTAAACCCTAAACCCTAAACCCTTAACCCTCAACCCTAACCCCTAAACCCTAAACCCTAAACCCTAAACCCTAAACCCTGAAAAAACAATTGCAAGGACAAGGGCGCCGGCACGGGGACTTGCGCCACGGACAACACTTGCGCCAAGATCGTTCCCTGGGACGTCCCGGCCCGCCTCTTACTTCTCCAACAGCTGAACGTTATAGACTTTTTAGTTTTCCTTATTTAGTAGGAATAATGAGGTTTAACCTTTATTGCCCTTGATTTTTGGAGAAGTAAGGCTTCTACAGGGCCATCAAGGAGGCCGCGTGGCGTCGCGACGAGCTCCTGCCGTACCTTGGGGACGACATGAAGCCTTTTCAGGGTTTAGGGTTCACGTGACCTTAATAGGAATCATAGTAGTGTGACCCTAAAAGGGTTTATGGTTCCTTATGACCTTAGTCGGAATCGCTCCCTTTGGTGTCCTAGGAATTCGAGTAGTATAGGGTCTATGATCCCCCAAATTTAGGGCTCCCTTTTGGCTATCAAGGTACATCTACACCGCCGCCTTCCGATCCGTCTCCACGGGCCTCGCCCTCGTGCGGCCCATGTACTACGAGGACCCGAGCGACCCGGCGCTCTACCACCAGCCGCAGCAGTACCTCTTCGGCCCCTGAGAAGCTGAGATGAGCACACTTTTACACCCTTTTTTGGGGGATACTCGAATCTCCCTTAGTAGCTGAGATGAGCACATTCTTGCACCCTTTTTGGGGATGCCTAGAATTCCCTCTGTGGATTTTCAAAGTGTACACAGTGTACACACCTTTTTTGGGGGGAGCTTCTGAACTCAGCAACTAAAAAGGCCCGGACATGATCGTGAGCCCCATCACGGAGCCCATGGAGAGCCTCACGGGCGACCCGGCGCCCCTGGGAACCATCCGGCAAGAGATGTACGTGCCCAAAGGCCCTTGGGTGGACACCTTGAATGGCGACTTCCCCGTGGGTCAGGTGGCCAGCATCTACGGAATCCGGGACGTGCCTGGGACCCGGTGTGTAGGCCCTTGTTTCCTTTTTGTTAGGGGTTGGGGTTCCCTAACAATCCCCTTAAAACCAAAAAGGGTGCCCTGTATATTCCGGTCTAGGTGCCGAGCTTGACTCGGCAGGGCGCAGTGATCCCCCAGCGCCCGCGCCTCGCGGGCGAGGGCAGCCTGGCAAGGGCCAGGCAGACCCTCTATGCGCTGGAGCTGCGCATCTAGGTCGGCCCTTTTGGGACATTGTCCATATTTTCCCTAAACCCTCAACCCTCAACCCTCAACCCTCAACCCTAAACCCTAAACCCTAAACCCTAAACCCTAAACCTGTCACAAGGGACAGGAGGAGTCAACCACCCCAAAGCCAATCACCCCAATCTTTTTGACCCCGAAACCGCTAAGCCCTACCAAACGCTGTCCTCCCTAACCCTAAACCCTAATCCCTAAACCCTAAACCCTAAACCCGAAATTCTCCGTTTAGGGTTTAGGGTTTGGTATTTAGGGTTTGGGGTTTAGGGTTTAGGGTAGCATAGGCGTTCAAGGGCCACAAGCCCTGCTGAAGTAAGGCCCAAACCCTGCACACCCTAAAGCCCGAAGCCCCCCAAACCCTGAATCCCCCAAACCCTGAACCCCCAAACCCGAACCCACCCTAAACCCGAAACCGCAAACCCTAAACCCTAAACCCTAAACTCTAAACCCTAAACCCTTATTGGGTTTAAGAGGATCAGATTCGGGAATATTATTCGGAGGGTTTTAGTAGGGCCATCCTAGGCATTGCCCCCGCGAAAGCCTTCTACTTGGGTGGCGCTTTCGCGGGCAGCGGTGTGGTCGTGGACGACGACGGCCTCACCATGGATTCTTTGTCATAGTTGGGTACCATTTTACATTCCTACCGGGTACTCAAACCCAATAAGGAAAAACAAATCTCGATTTTGAATATTCTCCAAACCATGAACTAGGATTACCAGCAGGGCAAGTTCGCAACGACCAACTGCAGCTACAGCTTCAAGAACCGCTCCTTCTCCATCCGCGTCGAGCGGAGCGGCTCCTTCGACGGGGAACCCGACAAAGTCACCTTGATGATCTCCTTCCCGCAGATGGCCCCACTGAAGCTGGCAGGGACCAATCCTCCCTTTGTGAATATCAGCTACGACCAGAGGATCATCGGCCCCGTCATCACCCTCAAGGACGTCAGCTTGGCCAAGGGGTCCCTGTCCCTGAACTTGGACATCGACGAGGCCTACACTCCGGAGCTGCTCCCCAACTTGGTGGGCTTGCTCGGGCGCACGCGGCGCGCCCGCTACGCCAAGGACGCCCTGGACGAGCCTTTTCTCCCCCTTGGGAATTATTGTTTGTTTCAATTTTTGTTTATGATAAAACTCAAGAGGATATATTAAAAATGGTATTTTTGTTAAGGTTCTAAGGGGAGTATAGGAGCTGAACATCCCCTACGGCTCCAGCCGGGCCAACATCACGGCCCTGGCCCTCGCAGCGACGCACATGAGCCCCTCCTTCCTGTCGACGGTGGAGCAGCTCTGGCGCGACGCGGCCGCGCAGGCGAGCGCGCTGGTGGCCACGGAGAAAGGCCTGCTGGGCGATCCCCGCAGGTCCGCGCTGATCTCGAGCATGATGAAGGCGATGGTTGGACCCTGATGCCCGAAACGTCCCTGAGCCCCACAGAAAACTGACCCCACCCCCCCCAAGCCTCCCCTCAACCCCGTATTTCAGCATCCTTAAGGCATCCCTAACACATCTCGAAAACATCCTTAAAACATCTCGAAGACATCCCTCAAGCATCCTTAGAACATCCCTCAGGGCAACCCTAAACCCTAAACCCTAAACCCAAAACCCAAAACCCTAAACCCTAAACCCTAAACCCTAAAACATCCCTCAGGGCCCCTCTAGAAAGCCCTGCAGGAGGGGACGCTGCCGCAGGCAGCGAAGGCAATCCCGCAGCTGGTGGTTTAGCGCCGCTGCGAGGGAAAATAGTGCGGCAGCTCCTGTACTTGTTTTTAAGGGTTTAGGGTTTAGGGTTTAGGGGTTTAGAGGTTTAGGGTTTAGGGTTTTTTGAGGCTAGAGGCTTTTGCTTTTTGGGTTCTCCCAAAGATGCATTCGCCCCGCAGCGCCCCCGGAAACTCGACCCCGATTGCCCGCACTCTGGAAAGATGGCATTTTGCTGATCATATGTACAGAGGGACCGCCGGACCCTTAAGCTTATTCTCGTAAGTAATCCCTCCCTCATTAGGCTCCATTTAGTCCCCTGACGCCTAGTTTGGGTTTAGGATTTAGGGCTTAAGGTTTAGTGCTTCGGGCGTGAGGAGATGCCCCTGAGTGGAGGTTTTTCAAAGTAGGGGTCTCCGAACATACCCCCTCTATCTACTCCAATGCTCTAATCCTGATCATAGAGAGGAAGCTTCCTAATCAGGGGCTGCATGATGGGAACTGGGCAGGGAATACCAATTTTCAAGCTCCACAGCAGAGGAGGAGGAGGAGGAGGAGGAGGAGGAGGAGGAGGAGGAGGAGGAGGAGGAGGAGGAGGAGGAGGAGGAGGAAGAATTGGCCCTTGATCCTCATACACGAAACCCAACCCCAAACCCAAACCCCAAACTCCTCCGCCTAAAACCTAAAAGCTCAAACCCTAAATCCTGCTCATTTGTGCCTTATCGCGTCCCGATAGCCCTAAGCCCTAAGCCCTAAGCCCTAAGCCCTAAGCCCTAACCCTAAACCCTAAACCCACCCTAAACCCAAAGGGAAAATAAGCAAAAACACGCAAGAACTTGGGCATTGAATGTCCGAGCTCCTAGCTGTTTGGACCTCAGCATCCCAAAGCTGGGGTTTAGGGTTTAGGGTTTAGGGTTTAGGGTTTAGGGTTTTAGGGTTTAGGGTTTGAGAGAGCTGAGGGCTTGAGGGATTTAGGGACTTCGGATTAAGTATCTTGTCCAGAAACGATAGCACCTTTCGTGTGCAGCGATGGCTGATGCAGAAGTTGTGGGCAGAGCCGATCCGGATTTTTCGGATGGAGGCACCGCTCCTGTGCTGCTTCCCCACGAGACATCCGACTGCAGCGGCTCGTGCTCCATCTTCGGGACAGTTGTTTAGGGTTTAGGGTTAATCAATCGGAATCATCATGAACATCATTGCAATTATGACATCAGTTGGCGCAATATTCAGTGTACATTTTTTTTGTCTCCTGCGTTCGTCGTTTTGAAATACTGCTTCTGTGGCTGAAGCCTTTGCTTGCATGCCCCAAGGCAGATTCTGCTGCTGCTTGCGGCTGGCAGCGGGAGATCCCCGTTCCAGCAAGACCACCTCCATTCTCTCTTTTCTGCTTGTTCTGGCGGCATGGACCAGCACGGTCTTGGCGGTGTACGTGTCGCGCAACACCTTTCCACATCCTGAGCCGGCTCGCGAGGGAAGCTTCTCTGAAGAGAGAGCCTGGTCTGTTCTCGAGCGCATTCAGAGAATTGGTGCCTTGACCACCATGTTCTACTCCCTTGTACCTAATATTCAACCCACTGGGGGTATTTAACCCTAAACCCTAAACCCTAAACCCTAAACCCTAAACCCTAAACCCTAAACCCTAAAGAGGGCACCCAAGAGTTCGACTCCCAGAGGTGCTCATCCTGTGATTTACAAGTCCGACTTTGTGTCCTCCGGGTACTTCGCGCCTTCCTCCAACGTCGCGGTTTTTGAACCTAGCTAGGGTCTTGGGATGTTGTGTATCTTCCCCGCTATTGGGTTTAAGAGGATCCTATTCAGAACCCTAAACCCTAAACCCTAAACCCTAAACCCTAAACCCTAAACCCTAAACCCTTATTGGGTTTAAAAAGGATCCTATTCAGGAAATATATTCTAGAGGACTTTAGGTGCCATCCCAGGACCTCTTCAAGCAGGAGATCCAAGCCATTTCCTCGGCAGCTTTGACCATGTCACAGTGGAGCTCCAGGTGCGGGGACTTAGGGGGTTTAGGGTTCAGGGTTTAGGGTTTAGGGTTTAGGGTTTAGGGCTATGAACCTCCAAGCAGGTGCCGACCAGTGGGCAAATTGCAACGGGATCCTCGTACTACGACTACATCTCAGCGAGACTACGCGTAAGAGAACCGTCGTCGTCCTATCACAAAGCCATGCTGCTTACGGCACACTTCGACTCGGCTGTTCCAGAGGGTGTCCGTGAATCAGCAGATGCCCTCGGTTCCATGGGTGTAGGCATGGCAGATGATGCTGTGGGCGCCGCGGCAGTTCTCGAGTGCTTCCGCGTCTTGGCCACAGCTTCCGAGCCACCACTGGTGGACGTCATCCTACTGCTCACCAATGGAGAGGAGGTCGGATATCTGGGGCTGGACTCCTTTATGGGGTCCAGTCCCTGGGCCCAGGACGTAGGCTTCTTTGTGCAGATGGACCAGAGCGGCGCCCGCGGCCACGCGCTGGCCGTCTTCGGGGATGCGCAATCAGGCCTCGCGTTTGTTGATAGCTGAACAGGGCACCCGGTCCACACTGCTTCAATTTTTGGAGATGTTGAATTGCCGAGGTTTGCAAGGTCCTGGCAGAAATTGTTCTTTCTGCAGACAGGTCATTTTAGAGGACTGCAAAGATATAGTTCACATACGTGACGGCTGGCTACAAGTGGCGTCTCCATTGAAATGAAGGTTTATATAATCGCGCATTAGAAGTGCCCTCTCGTCGCCCTGCAGGTGAAAAGGCCGCTGCTTTCGCCTATCATGCTGGCGCGGTGCATCCCCGCACCAGCGTGTTGCTGCGGGATTTCGAACCTTGGGAGGACTTGAATACCGACGGTTCAAGGCTGCGAGGCACCTACGGTGTGCCTGGCATTGGTATGTATATGATGGAGGACCGGTGTCCCTACCACACGATCTACGACGACCTTAGCCATATTGTTCCCGGGAATTTGCAAGCTCATGGAAACAACTTCCTGGGCATCAGCCGTGCTGTGACAGGAAGTGAAGCTATCTTGGACATGTGGGCAAGAAGCGACTCGGATCTCTTGGGGGATGCTTACAGCATTGACTTGCTGTCCTCATCCATGCTAGTGCTGACTCCCACATCCATGGCTGTGCTTTACCTCACCGTTGGCGTGTTCATTGTTGTGGTGGTTGTCCTCCTGGCGTTCCTTGACCCACGAGGGCGGACTGTGGCCGTGGTGGACGTGGCCTTGCTGGCTTCGGCCCATCTGGCTTCTGTCGTAGCGAGCTTGGTGGTGGCCTTCGCCATAGCCGCCTGCGTCGGCTTGAATTTCGGCTACTGGTACCGTCGGGATGGCATGGCCGTTTGGCTCTACGTGTTTCCCAGCCTGTGCGTGCAGCTGCTTTTTGGCAGGGTCGTGCTTCTCCGGCGCTTCGCGCAGGACTCTCCCGAGGTCGTGCAATGGCACTCCAGCGCCGCGCTGCTGGTGCTTCTGTTTCTGCTGTCGGTGCTTCTGGCAGTGGCAGGTTGGGATGCACCCCCTTATACTAACAGCCCTGAATAGGGATTATCATAGGGGGTACTTGCTAAGGACTGCTAGTACAAGGGGGGAACATCATAAGTGCCAGGCTTACACCTCTCCCTGCTCTTCGGCATGTGCGCGCTGACGCGCCTCGCAGGGCTAGGGCTTCATCTTGGCATCGGCCTCCTCATGCGACGCTGCGACTTTGCCAAGACGGAACGCGCAAAAGGAGTCCTAGCGTGGTTCCTGGAGTTGATTGGGAAGAACTGTCTTGGTTTTGGGCTCCCCCCCCCACTCCCCCCCCCAAAAAAAACCCTAAACCCTAAACCCTAAACCCTAAACCCTAAACCCTAAACCCTAAACCCTAAACCCTAAACCCTAAACCCTAAACCCTAAACCCTAAACCCTCCTGAGGTTGGGAATCGCGTCAGAGCTCACTCTGGCCTCCTTGGGCTCCATGTACCTATATCCCCCTTGGGAATAATTCTGTATTTTTGTTTATATAAAACCCAAGAGGGTTTAGGGTTTAGGGTTTAGGGTTTAGGGTTTAGGGTTTAGGGTTTAGGGTTTAGGGTTTAGGGTATAGGTACTTGCTGGACGCGATGCGCTTCGCGGTGCTGAACTTCACGACGAGTCTGGGCGAGGAGGGCGCCGTGCTTCCAGGTGGGGTTGAGGGTTTGGGGGTTTAGGGTTTAGGGGTTCGGGTTTCAGGGTTTAGGGTTTAGGGTTTCAGGTTCAGGGTTTCAGGGTTTCAGGGTTTAGGGTTTAGGGTTTAGGGTTTAGGGTTTAGGGTTTAGGGTTTAGGGTTTAGGGTCTAGGGTCCAGGCGAGCTGACGCTGGCTCTGTATGTTGGACTCTTTGGAGCCCTGGCGATGCTGCAGAGCGGCGCCATTCAGGTGCCTTGCAGATGCACGGTCACGTGCGCGCGTGGCGGTTCGGTAAGGTGAGAATTCGGGTTTTAGGTTTAGGGTTTAGGGTTTCGGGTTTAGGGTCTAGGGCTTAGGGTATAATATGGGGGGTTTACGATATTTGGGGGTACCTTATTGGGGTCGTTACGAATATGGGGAGCCTACTACTACTTTTTGGGGGTCTAAATTAGAGGTCCCTTACTATCGTAACCCCCCACATGTGTGAAGACTGAGGGTACTTCGTACTTCTATAGCATCTTCAGGGCTTTGGGTTTATCCACGGGGGCACAAGAGAAGTATGAACTGGGATGTTCCCCCTTATACTCACGGTCGTAGTAGGGATAGTAGTACCCCCTCTTATAATCCCTATTAGTATATGAAAGAACATCCCCAAGCATGAACACTTCCTTGGATGCATGTGAGCTCTTCTCAGCTGAGGTGCTCTCAACGAAATGTACTTTTGCGGGACATGTACTCGTGATGGCGCTGTTGGTCAGCCTCTGCTTGGTCATTGCAGCCCTGGCACTTCCCGTGCATGGCAAGTACCCTTGCGAGGTGCCAGGCGTCATGTAGCCCTAAGCCCTAAATATGTCGTTTAGGGTTTAAGGTTTAGGGTTTAGGGTTTAGGGTTTAGGGTAAGTGGTTTATTTGGATGTGGTGCTTTGGGAACGTAAGCCTCTCGCTGCGCCAAGCCTGTCAGCCAATAGAGCTTGCAGTCTCCTTCCATCTCTGTACGCAATCGTGCTTTGTTGGACGAGGCAGCCAAGTTGGAACCTCCAATGTAGATCAATGTAGCACAAAGTTCTGCTGCATGTTGTTTGCTTGGGCACCTCGTTTCACTACGCTACGAAGGAAACCCTACATTCGAAACCTGAAGCCCTAAACCCTAAACCCGAAACCCTGCCCCCTAAACCGGTACCTGTTCCCAACATACATCATCAAAAACGCCAAAGGCGTTGTTTCAGGAGTCTGTTCCGTGCAAGACGCAGGGCCAGAAGCATTGTGCTCCCAAGGTCGGTTTTCAAACTGCGCGCACACTGGCCAGAAGCAAAATGAACCGAAAACTCGACATCGAGAGCAGCAACACAGGGACCATCAAAAGGACCACAATCTATCCCTAAACCCTAAACCCCTAAGCCCCTAAACCCCTAAACCCCTAAACCCCTAAACCCCTAAACCCCTAAAGCCCTAAATCCTAAACCCTAAACCCCAAACCCTAAACCCTAAGGCCCTAAACCCTAAACCCTAAACCCTAAACACCATGAGCTTGCAGCAAATGCCTCAAGCCGTGCTTCGACGGAAAAACCCTCCCCTAAGACCTAAGCTCGAAACACCGGCGCCAGACTCGGACTTTTTAACAGTCTTTATTCCAGACGACGCTGTAGGGTTTAGGGTTTAGGGTTTAGGTTTTAGTTTTTTTTTTTAGGGTTTAGGCTTCAGGGTTTAGGGTTTGAGGTTTAGGGTGTTCTCTAAATTATGGTCTCTTTTTTTTTTTTTTGCTAACTTGTTTAATTAGAGGGAGTTTAGGGTTTAGGGTTTAGGGTTTAGGGTTTAGGGTTTAGGGTTTAGGGTTTATGCGGACAGAGAGAAGCCCGCAGGATGCTCCGACCATCCGGTTTGCCTAACATGTCTGGGTCCATACGGGGGTTTGCGGTATTCGGGGTCCTCATTAAATGATAAGGTTTAGGGTTTAGGCTTTAGGGTTTAGGGTTTAGGGTTTAGGGTTTAGGGAAATGTCACTGGAATGTGGGGGTTTACGAAAATAGGGGACCCCCAAAATAGACCCCCGAATAGCAGGGTTCCCTTCTACGACGGAATCCAAAGTAAGGCGCCCTAAATTTCGGAAGCCGCCGTATGGGAGTCGGGGGGGGTTCCAAAATCGACCAAGGACTCCAATGGGGCACGCATCATTGGGTTTTATATGTATATATGGAGAAGGGCCCATATTAAGGGATCATGAAACTACCCTAAGAATTGGGTGTATACGGGTATGTCCATGCAATGCGCAGTGACTGCATACTCAAACCTGCGCTAGATCGTTCATGTTCGCTAAGCCCAAGACGAAAGTTCTGTTGCTGCCCAATGTCGGCCTGCTTGTGGCCCTGTGCCGATAGATGTGTGCGTATGTGTGCGTGCGAGGCTCTCTTGAATTATGTCTCGTACAGCTTCTGCAGCCCCCCAAGGGCCCTTCCCAAACTGATCCGCAAAAAAACACATCAGAAAACAACGCAAAAAACAACCCTAAGCCCTGAATCGTTTAACCCTAAAACCCTCAATCGTTTAACCCTAAACCCTAAGCCCTAAACCCTAAACCCTCAACCCTAAACCCTAAACCCTAAACCCTAAACCCTCAACCCTCAACCCTCAACCCTAAACCCTAAACCCTAAACCCTAAACCCTCTGAATGCCTGCGGCCATGCCCAATGCTGCGGCCACTCCAAGCGATGGCTCGGGGGCGTTGCTGGTCAACGATCTTCGGGCCCCGCTGGAGGACGGAACCGCGGGGCTGGATAGGCATGTATTTTGGTTGTATTTTGGGGTTTATGGTTTTAGGGTTTTAGGGTTTGGATGGTTTAGGGTTTTTTTCGGCTCTGGGGTTTAGGTTCTAGGGTTTCGGGTTTTTAGGCTTTGGGGTTTGCATGGTATAGACGTTTTAGGTTTGAGGGTTTAGGGTTTGAGGGTCTAGGGTTTTTTTGGGGTTTTAGGGTTAAGGGTTTTAGGGATTTTGGGCTTTAGGGTCTTCGGGTTTTAGAGCATTTATAAAAGGGTAGTTGCATGGTCCCCTAATACGGTCCCTTAGCCTCTTTAAAGGTTCTGAAGTATGAACCCATGGTTTTTGGGGCATATAGGGGGGTAGCGTTTAGGGTTTGAGGTTTAGGGTTTAGGGTTTAGGGTCTAGGGTAGGTGTTGGGTTCTTAAAGTGCAAACCCTCAATCCTCCGGAAATTAGGGGGTACCTTCTTGGGGTCCGTATTACACGGGAATCCTACCATTTAGGGGTCTATTTTTGGGGGTCCCTTGTTGTCGTAAACTCCCATATCGTGTGCCCCTCCAAGGGCCCCCTTTAGTTTGCAACTCGAAGAGAAGGGGTTAGGGTTTAGGGTTTGGGGTTTGGGGTTTGGGGTTTAGGGTTTAGGGTTTAGGGTTTGGGGTTTGGGGTCTGGGGTTTGGGGTTTGGGGTTTTGGAGCCCTGCTTAGTTTTGAGGCACATCTCCCTCTCTTTTTCTGGGGATGGGGTTCCCTTATTTTCGTAAACTCTTAAATAGGGTTCCTGCTACACGTTGGTGAGTGTTTTTTTGGGGGGGGGGCGGGGGGCCGGGGTGGGGAGGGTGCGGGGGCTGTGATTTTTGGCAGCTTGGACAAGTAAGAACAGAAAAGCGCTAAATTTCTCTGTTGTTGCGCAGGAACATCCTGTCTTCTCTGCAGTTTTGATAGGAAACCATTATTTCCTTTACGGTTTAAGACAGAAGCAACTTCCTCAGTGGAAACTTGGATTTCCTTGACAGTGTCCACAGGGATACTACCAGTAGTAAAACCCTGCTTCATATGGCAGGCAGGTTTTCAGCCTCAAGGCGGAAGGCAAGCCTATTCACCCCCCATCCGATGCCCTTACCTGACAAACAACACCTAAACCCTAAACCCTAAACCCTAAACCCTAAACCTTAAACCCTAAACCCTAAACCCCAAACCCTAAACCTCAAACCCTAAACCCTAAACCCTAAACCCTAAACCTTAAACCCTAAACCCGAAACCCTGGACGCTGCCCTCCAGGTGAAGGTCGGAGAAGGCTGGCAGATCCTCTACCCAGGCCGCAGCCTGAAGATTCAAGAGGGCGTCGCGGAGGTGGTGGCTCTCGGGCTGTACTTGGCAAGCGCTGAGGTCCTCTTCGTGTCTTGAAACGCCCAAGCCCTAAACCCTAAACCCTACACCCTAAACCCTAAACCCCAAACCCGAAACCCAAAACCCAAAACCCTAAACCCTAAACCCAAAACCCAAAACCCTAAACCCTAAGTCCTAAACCCCCAAGCCCTAAACCCTCAATCCTCAAAGCCTCAAATGTTGAGGTTCGGCTTGTAGAAGACCAGGCCGTTCTGGGCAAAGGGCTTGCAAAGGGAGAGCTGAAGGCTTCCCAGAGCTTTGGAGACTTCAGTGAGGCTGCCTTGCGTCGGGACCTGCAGGAGATGCCCCCAAACCCTTCAGCCCTAGATTGTCTGGTTCTTAGTAGTTAGTGTTAGTGAGGGAATTCGGTAGCTTGTATCCACTGATATTACCTTTTAAGGAAGAGATCGTATAGGGCATCCTAAATCTAGGGGGAAGTTGCCGAGGTTTGAAGCGGGTGAGATGTTGGATAGTGGATAGAGAAGGAATGCAAGTGAAGATGGCCTTTTCTTCTCTCAGCAGCTTTCGTTCAAAACTGAGTTCATGAACCGAAGTGCCCAGTTCAGGGTCCAGGGACCCTGAAGCCCTTTGGCGTTTTTCCTCCTCAAACCCTGTATAAACCCTGAATCCTAAGCCCTAAACTCAAGTGACCAGGAGCAGGCGGACGTGCAGCGCGAGGCCAAACGCCGCCGGGAAGTAGCGCGGCAGAGGCAAGCCCTCAATGAGAAGGAGACGAGGCTCCCGGGAAAATAGGGGTCGGAAGAAAGACTAATTTCACAGTATTCCCTTATGGTCCCTTTTCATCAATTGTACTATAATGACCCCCAAACCCTGTTCTAATCATTAAGGCTTTTATATGATACTTGGAGCAAGCCGGATCCCTTTAGACCCTAAGCCGGCTTGAAGGGCTTAGGGCTTAGGGTTTAGGGTTTAGGGTTTAGGGTTTAGGGAACCATCCTCAACCCTAGACCTTAAACTTCGAGTTCCCAGGCGGCGGATGTACAAGACGGAAATGAACTTTGGCATTGTTGTGCTCCTCGTGCTGCCGGGCATCGCCACTGCGTTGGTGATCCTGTGCGCAGCTGTCCCCCCCTCGGATGCCATGTCAGCAACAAGAGGGGTGTGTCGTTACAGGAAGCTCCGAGCACAAACCCTAAACCCTAAACCCGAAACCCTGAAGCCATGAGAGCCCTGCACCCTGAAGGGCCTAAACCCCCCCAAACCGCCCAGGATGGTGTGATGGCCGCACTGCTGAGCGTCCTTGCAGCTCTTTGTTGTTGCTGTGTGAACTTCTGGGCCATGGTCTTCGGAGATGTGGATGAGACTTGTCGCCTGAAGTTGTCAAGCGTAAGAGACTAAGGCCCTGAACCTTAAACCCTAAACCCTAAACCCTAAACCCTAAACCCTACACCCTACACCCTAAACCCTAAACCCTAAACCCTAAACCCTAAACCCTAAACCCTAAACCCTAAACGGGTGTAAGGGGGAACATCCCAACCTCAACCCCTAAACTTAGACCCACAGCGTTCTCTCGAAGGAGAAAACTGGCTTCCGCAGTGGTGGGCATGGGATGCGCGAGCGCTACTGCCTCCATGTCCTCTGGGGTCCGGGCTTAGGGTTTAGGGTTTAGGGTTTAGGGTTTAGGGTTTAGGGTTTAGGGTTTAGGGTTTAGGGTTTAGGGGTTAGGGTTGAGGG